GCTGCGCCACCAGGGAGGACCCTTAAATTTTATTATATGCATACTGGGGTGCAAGCCAGAGGTGCAGGCGGTAAGAGGATTCACCAGAGACAGAGTGGGGAGCAAAACAGATGAATCCACAGAAATACACTGCTGAGGGGAGCAGTAGCAGAGGTCTGCTGCGCCATGTGGGTCAGCTCCCTGGCAGGGATTGAACTCAGGCCACAGTGGCTGGCGATAGCTTGACAGTGCTGAGACTTTAACCCCTGTGCCACCAGGGAGGCCCAACCTTATTATATTTTGTAAAAACAAGAAGACCCTAATCCAGGAGCTCATGTTGCTGTAGATCCTCCTTGTGACTGTAGTTTTCTTAGCTGCCCCACCCACCCAGGTTGGGAAAATCAAACTTGTGGTGAAAAGAGGTATGGACTGTATCTCCACCTGCTACACTTAGCTGCCTGCAGAGTGGGGAAAGTGATGGCCAGAGAAGCGGCTCAGTTCACCCTCTTCCTCCTCAGAAAATCACAGATAACATCAAGGGGAAGGTATGCAGTCTGGCCGTGTGCGCTGTGGCTTGGCTCGTAGCCCACGTGCGGATGCTGGGGCTGGACGAGCGTGAGAAGTCGCTGCAGATGATCCGCCAGCTGGCAGGGCCGCTGTACAGCGAGAACACCCTGCAGTTCTACAATGAGAGGTCAGTCACCCATGCCTCCCATCTGGAACTCCGCAGGTCTGTTGTGAGAAGTCAGCACCTTCAAGAACCACTCTCCTCCTCTTCTCTCACCTTCCCAAACATGCTGCTCACCCGATCACTCACTTCCTTCTTCATGTTTTCACTCACTGACTCAGCAACATCTTGTGTGTGTCTCTGTGCCAAGAGTGTTTATAACTGCTGGTTCCCAGAAAGACAGACCCCAGAAGCAATGATTCCTGCTCACAAAGGGCTCAGACTCTGGAGAACTGGTCGGACAGAAGAACAAATGATTATCTTAACCATGTCACTGTCTAGGAGCTGTGAACCAGCTATACATTTCACGCGCCTCTCCAACTCCCCGGTTCCCACCTCCCTGTCTGCTTGCTTTGTGACACGGTACTGCCTCCATTTTTCAGGGGCTTGGAGCACCTTCCTGGCAATGTCAGCTTTGTAGGATTCAGTGGTATTGATGCATTCACATGTCCATTTATGCAATATGTCTTCTATTTGCTTATTTATATTTTTAAAGATTTTTTAAAGGATTTACTTATTTATGCTTACAAGAGCTAGGATACAGGCCAGAGGTGCAGCCGTGAGAGGATTCACCAGAGCAAACAGGCAGATTACTGAAACACACTGCTGAGGGGAGCAGTAGGCGGGACAGGAGAGGTCTGCTGCGTCATGTGGGCCAGCTCTCTGGTGGAGAATCAAACTCGTGCCACAGTAGCTTTGGACAGCTTCATAGTGCTGTGCTTTAACCCCTTGTGCCTCGTGGACAGTCCAGTAGTGTTAAATACATTCACATTGGGTTGAAACAGACCTCCAGACTTTTTCATCCTGCAAATCTGACACTCTAACCATTGAGCAGCAGCCCTCTTTCTGTCTTTCCTGCCTCTAGCAACTACTTGCTGCTTCTGTGAAGTCAAATATGGAGTCAACTACTTTGGATAGCGCATATAAGTAGAATCATGCAGTGTTTGTCTTCTTATGACTTTTTTTTTTAACTGAAAAATCACGTCCTGTTGCACGTGACAGGCCCTCCTTTTTAACGGCTGTATAATATTCCACTACATGGACCATGTTTTATTTATCCATTCATCAGTGGGTGGACACTTGGGTTGCTTCTGCCTCTTGGCTGTCATGAATGGGTGGCTGTGAACATGGATAGGCACCAAGCAGTGAGGTATGAGGGTGCTCCTGAGGCAGCCACAGAGGATGCCTTATCCTAGAGGTGACTTATGTAGAGGGTTGGAAACATGGAGCTGAAGTGAGGTCAGGGTGTGTCTGTTACGCCATATCTATTTTCCCCTTGCTGCCTTTCCTTCCCTTCCCATCTGCCCCATGTGTAAGGAGGTGTTAGTCTCTGTTCTACTCCATGTAAGACCCAAACTCTGTTGGTGAGGGGTGATGGGAAATCTGTGACTCCAGCATGCAGGTGGGAAAAGTATTCTGAAAGTCCTAGCAACTTTCCCTGTGCCACCCGGCATTCCAGGAATGGCTCACACTCTGCCCTAGGTCTGAATTCACAGTTGGAGGCTTCATGAGAAAGTTCCTGGATGTACGCTTACATGTACCCAGCTTCCAAGGGCCGGGAAGAGTCCTGTGGGGCAGCGCTGGGCCCCTGTCCTGGAAGTAACAGTTTACTTTGGGAGTACGCCAAGGCTGGGCGGGGACCCCAGTAAGCACTCAGCCCAAAGGGAAGCGATTGTATTTACTTATGCCAGAGGATTGGCAGGGCCCAGGCCTTGGGATGGGGAAGTTGAAGTTGGAGAGACGGTGAAAGGGAAAATATAATTATATCAGCAGATTAACCTGGGGGAGGGGAGCCCTGTGCTCCTCCAACCGGCTTTGTGCTCAGCCAGTGAGCATCCTGCCAGCAGGACCAGTAGGGTCAGGTCTGCTGGGGGACTGGAACTTCTTCTTCTTTTTCTTTATGATTTATTTGTCAATGTATATAAGAGCTGGGGTGCAGGCCAGAGATACGGGGAGTAAGAGGATTCACCAGAGACAGAATGGGGAGCAGGACAGGCTGATTGAAACACACTGCTGAGGGGAGCAGTGAGTGAGACAGGAGAGGTCTGCTGCGCCATGTGGGTCACTCCCCGGCCAGGGGTGGAACTCGTGCTGCAGTGGCTGTGGACAGCTTCAAGGTGCCCTGTCTTAACACCTTGCACCACCAGGGGGGCCCCGGAACTTCCTCCTGTCTCCTCCCCGAGCACAGAATGGGGTTAATTCCCCAGGAATATTTCCGTAACCCAAGTGCTGGGAAAAGTCTGACCTGGCTGTTTCTTCCCCTCCCACCCTGACTCTTGAACCCATGTGGCCGGAACCCATGTGGCCTGCCCTGCCCCCGCCCCCCAGGGTGGTGATCATGAGCTCGATCCTGGAGCACATGTGCGCCGACGTGCTGCAGCAGACCGCCACGCAGATCAAGTTCCCGTCCACGGGCGTGGACACCATGCCCTACTGGAACCTGCTGCCGCCCAAGCGCCCCATCAAGGAGGTGCTGACCGACGTGTTTGCCAAGGTGCTGGAGAAGGGGTGGGTGGACAGCCGCTCCATCCACATCTTCGACACGCTGCTGCACATGGGCGGCGTCTACTGGTTCTGCAACAATCTGATCAAGGTACCTATCTGAGTCAGGCAGGTATGGGGGGCAGACATGGAGGTGGGGAGCTTCCCTCAGAGAAAACGCCCGACAGTCCAGAACCCCATCTCTTATACCCATCATCCAGCGGGTCTGCGGGCTTTGAGGGGCCACTCCGACGGCAGGTGTGTGGGGGCGGGTGGAGGGGAGAGGATGGGAGCTCCTGACACCTGAGACCCTGCACCCCTGGGCCCCATGGTTGGGCCTCCCTCCCCAGCGCCCCTGCCTGGCCCACCAGGAGCTGCTGAAGGAGACACGCAAGGAGCACACGCTGCGCGCGGTGGAGCTGCTCTACTCCATCTTCTGTCTGGACATGCAGCAAGTGACCCTGGTCCTGCTGGGCCACATCCTGCCTGGCCTGCTCACCGACTCCTCCAAGTGGCACAGCCTCATGGACCCCCCCGGCACTGCCCTGGCCAAGTAGGACCTCACCCGGGCCTCAAGTCACCACAGCCAAGTCTGGCGCCCTCACCTGGGCCAGCCCCGGGCCCCGGGACTGTAGGCTGCCTCTGAGGTGGGGCCTGAGCTTGGGGGCACAGGAAACCCTGGTCTGACCCTCTTTCCCTGCGGCCCTTTACCAGGCTAGCCGTCTGGTGTGCCTTGAGTTCCTACTCTTCCCACAAGGGACAGGCCTCCTCCCGCCAAAGGAAGAGACACCGTGAGGACATCGAGGTAGGGACCCCTCCTGCCTGTCCCCTGGTTTTCTACCTTCAGTACTGAGCGGCTTCTGGGGGTGCCTTCCCAGGAGAAGCTGTTGGCGGAGTGCCTGCCCCAGCAGCCGTGTGTTGGGGCTGTTAGCGAGGCGCCTGCAGGCGTGACTGAGGTCTCAAACCAGGCTGGGGCAGGGGTGGGAGAGGCCTGAGATGCAGTGACGACGCCCACCTCGGCTGCCACAGAGGCCTGTGGGAATCATCTCTTCACTCGGCTGGGGGTTGGGGTATTAGTGATTCTCCCACCCTCTAGGATTATATCAGCCTCTTCCCCTTGGACGACATTCAGCCCTCGAAGCTGATGCGCCTGCTGAGCTCCAACGAGGAAGACACCAACATCCTTTCGAGTCCCAGTGAGTGGAGGGGGCTGGGCCTGCCCTTCCTTTCCTGGGAACTAGCTGGCATCCCAGCGAGCTGCACCGTGGGGTGGGACCGGTGCTGGCCCCTGCAGCCTCTGTCCCGACCCCTGGGCTGGGGGGGCAGTTCCCTAAGGGTTGGGGCTCTGCTCTCCAGGTCCCACCGCTGCCAGGACTGCTGCCCGCCTCCACTCCGCAGGGTTGAGGAGTGAGTTATGCCTTGGGCACAGCCACTGACTCATCGGCTCTGGCCATCTTTGCCTCAAACATGTCCTGAGGCCTGAGCAGGCCTGGGCTGGGCTGGGCTGGGCTGCTCCCCACTCTCCTGCCTGAGGAGCGCCCTTCCCCCTCCTGCCTTCCCTCATGTTGCTGTCACTCTGTCCTCGCCGCCCTCTGACTTCCTGCCACGGCCCCTCTCTTTCTGCCAAGGGTTCCTTCTGTGGCATTAATTCTTCTGTTTCCAGAGATTTCTCCCAAATCTGGAAGTTTCTCTGAGAACTTGTAGGGGCTAGGGCCAACTGTGCCTGCCCAGAGGAACGAGCTGGGTCGCACCTGCAGGCCTGCGCCTCGGCTGCTGACTGGCCCCTCTGAGGTGGCGCTGTAGGGGCCGCAGGCTGATGCAGACTGGCACGCGGTTGTGCCCCCAGATGTTGGCTTCTCACCTCTCCCGGGTCTTTCCTGGCTGGGACTCTGGACCCAAGGGGTGCCTCCAGGCCCCGGGGGGCAGCTTCCCGGGACACGGCACCCCTCTTCTCAGTGTGGCTGCCCCCACCCCACAGCCGACCGGTCCATGAGCAGCTCCCTGTCAGCGTCCCAGCTCCACTCGGTGAACATGAGAGACCCGCTGAACCGTGTCCTGGGTGAGTCCCCTCCCCCAAGGGCCCCCTCGGAGCAGGAGGTGCAGGGAGCTGGAAGGGTCTTCCCAGTGCCCTGCCGGCTCCCACCTCCCCCTCTCCCCTGCATGGCCCGTCGCCGGCCTCAGCCTGCCCTAGGCCCCCCTCTCAGCTGCCCCTAGTGTCTGCGCCCCGCCTTTTTCATACCCCTTTTGGGGCCACTGCACGAATTTCTTTCCCTTTCCTGTTCTGCCTGATTCTGAAGTCCACCCTCTCTTTGTCCTTCTCCCGGCCGCGCACAGCCAACCTGTTCCTGCTCATCTCGTCCGTCCTGGGCTCGCGCACAGCCGGCCCGCACACGCAGTTCGTGCAGTGGTTCATGGAGGAGTGTGTGGGCTGCCTGGAGCAGGGCAGCCGGGGCAGCATCCTGCAGTTCATGCCCTTCACCACCGTGCGTGTCCCCCGGCCCCCGGGGCGCCCGGGGTCTGCAGACAGCCCGGGGTGGGGGGTGGAGGGGAGGAGGGCCTCTTTCCTTCCTGGCATGGCCCCCGCCAGGGTAGCCCTGGCCTCTGAGGCTTGTCTGTCTGCAGGTGTCGGAGCTGGTGAAGGTGTCTGCCATGTCCAGCCCCAAGGTGGTTCTGGCCATCACGGACCTGAGCCTGCCCCTGGGCCGCCAGGTGGCCGCCAAGGCCATCGCGGCGCTCTGAGGGGCCGTGGAGCCCCCGCCCGTGCCCACCAGGAGCCCGAGGAGAGGAGGCATCTCGCTGTCCTCCCGATCCGTCCCCTGCTCCTGACGTCTGGCTTCTAAGGCCTTCCGGTTCCTTTCTGGCATAATTTCCTCACCCGGCGGGAGCACGAGCAGCGGGCTCAGCCCTGGGCAGTTGCCCCAAACCACGTGCTGGCGCTGAGTAAATTTCCTCTGAGGAGCTGTGAGTGCACAGAGTATGTATATATTTATTTTTTGTAATACGCAAGGGAGGTTCACCTCAGCTCATTTATAAATAAAGACACTGTGGACCCCTTGTTTTTTCTTTTTAAGGATTTATTGATTGATACATACAAGAACTGGGGAACAGGACAGAGGTGCTGGGGACGGGGGGTGAGAGAATTCACTTGAGAGTGGGGAGCAGAACAGGCAGATGACTGAAGCACACTGCTGAGGGGAGCAGCGGGGGGAGACAGGAGAGGTCTGCTGCGCCCTGTGGGTCACTCCCTGGCTGGGATCGAAGTCCTTCTGCAGTGGCTCTGGAAGCTTCATAGTGCTGTGCTTTAACCTCTTGTGCCACCAAGGAGGGCCCCACTGTGGACCCCTTTCTGACTAAGTACTGTTGCTGCTGTGTCTGGCTGGAGTGGGAACAGTGTCTTCTGGAACCTCAAGTGCCGGGAGCTATGGTGTGGATGAGGGGCAGGGCAGGTCTCAGCAAGTCAGTCCCACCTGGCTCCCCACCCATGTTCCAGAGTGAGACTTGCTCTGAAAAGGGAGAAGTTTTGCTGAGACCACCCCAACCCCCAGCTCTGGTGCTGGGGGTGGGTTCCCCAATCCATCCTCCTCTGCCCTGAGCCTGCCCAACCAGGAGTCTGGCCTGTCCTCTCCAGGAAAGTACGGGTTGTGTAGGGTGGGGGCTCTGCCTCCCTTGCTCCACGCGTCCCGGGACCCCGTTCTCCAGAACCCCTTTGAGCAGAAGGGCCTGAGCCACACAGCCGTGGCCTGAGATGCTGGGCCTGCCCAGCCAGACTTAGCTTAGAACCGGGCTACAGGCCAGAGGTGCAGGGGCCGTGAGAGGTCACCAGACAGAGTGGGGAGCAGAACAGGTGGACTGACTGCAATACACTGCTGAGGGGAGCAGCGGGCGAGAAGGCAGGAGAGGTCTGCTGCGGTGTGGGTCAGCTCTGGGACAGGGACGGAACGTGCTGAAGCGGCTGCGGCCAGCTTGCAGTGCTGCGCCCCAACCCCTTGTGCCACCAGGGAGGGCCCCAGACTGCTTTCTAGGGAACCAGGTGGGAAGGGAAGGGAGTTGACAGGAGCCCTGGGAGAGGCACCAGGCCTGGCTGCCACCGCGCTTCCCGGCTGGTGAGCCTCCCGGAGGCACGCGCCAAGGCTGCCCTCAGCCCCGGGCCAACACTGAAGCCTAAAGCTGCAGAGGACAGTGGGCCAGAGATCAGAGATGGCCTTGATGAGGGCGGGGGTGCAGAGCCTGGAAAGTGGGTGCTGATCCGACCTGTCTGAACTCGCGTCTGCAGCGGCCACTTTAGCATCTGTCTTGGCCGCCGCCTGCAAACAGCCAACTTGCCAGCCCTGTGCGGAGGTTGCAGGCCGCCCTGCTTGGGGCTGCGACTGGCCTGCTGAGCTGCTGTGTCAGCCCCACACTCTGGTCCCCCTCTCCGGCACCAGGGTCCCATCTGCTGCCGACGCCCTGCTGGGCCCACCAGGCAGCTTCGTGGCTCAGGGGCCTCTGTGGGTCTCCACTGTGTCCCTAGCACTTAGCTCTAAGAAGCACTCACCAAAGGGGTGAGCCCTGGGCTGCCCCTGCCTCCCCTGCCCTCCTCTCCCACTCTGGTCTCACCCCTCCCCACTCAACTCCCGCCCCCACCCCCCAATTCCTGGTCAGGCCTCAGCAGGAATCAAGGAGAAAGGACATTTACTGGAAATATACTTTATTATCCAAATGTTTGGCTACAGTGAGAAGCAGAGGAGGGCGAACGCTTGAACACCCCCATCACGGAATCCCCCCCACCTTGTCCCTCCCATGTTCTCATCCCTGCCCAGCATGGCGGATCCACAGCCCTCTGCCCAAGCCTGGGTGAGTCCCACTCTAACTCCATGCTGGGGGACGTGGCGGGTCTGCTGTCTCCATAGGGTGGCCAGGAAGTCAAGATGTTGGTGATTACTGGGCTCCCCACGCAGGGAATCAAAATATACCCGGAAACAATGAAAAAGCCTGGATTTCCCAGCCAGTTCCTGGGACCCCAGGGTCAACTCTCCCAGGGTTTCAGCTCCGCTCATGGGAGGGGTGTGGGGGAAGCAGGGCAGGGCCCTGAAGGGGAACACTGCTGTTTAAATATTAAACAACGTCTTGTCTCCCACGTGGGAGACCTGAGCTTCCAGGGGCCCCGGGGTGGGTAGCCCGGGCTGAGTTCGCTGCGGCTCTCGCCGGTGCCCACCACGGAGCCAGCCAGGGAGCAGTCACAAGACTTAATACTTGGTATTTACCTTGCTGCCTCCCGTCCGGGGGACAGGGGGACAGGAACGTTTTCCTTGCTACAGGCAGGAGATGGAACTCGCAGGCAGGGGAAGGACCCAGGAGTCGAGGCTCCTTCTAGCTCTTCCCTGTCTTTAAATACTCGGTTTAAATAAGCATAAATATTAAATAGTGATAAATACACTGGGTGGGGAGGGCTTTGCTCAGGGCCCAGCGAGATAGCGCAGAGCCCGGTAGGCCCGCTCCAGGAAGCTCTGCAGGTTGGAAGCAACCAGAACCCCTCCTGCCCGGCGTTGGAAGGCAGAGGTGAAGGTTGGCATGGTGCCCTGGGTGGGCTGCAAGGCAGGGGCCGCCCCCAGGTCTTCCATCTGTGGGGGAAAGACGGGATCAGCAAGCAGGCCCTGCCCAGCAGGTGTTACTATACCTGAGACCCCCCCGTGGGCGCTCACACAGGTAATGGTGGCGCGGGGACTTGAGGTCTGCTCAAGGTGCGGTGATGGGCTCTGCCCTCAGGGAGAGGGTGTGGAGCGGGGCCACTGCACGGGGGTCCTGGTATGGGATGGCAGCTCCCCACACAGCCCCCCATACCACCGAGAATGCTAAAGAATTTCTGGGATCCCCAGACTCGCAGCACGGCCTTTGGGGTCCTGTTCTGCATAGGCCCCGATAGTGGCCACTCCCGACGAGGCTCACCTGCTGCCAGACGTTGGTGGTCAAGTCCTTGACATCCAGCTGCAGCAGGTCCACAGTGGAGGCCAGCTCAGGGGAGACCCCTGCCAGGGCCTGTAGCAGGCCCTGGTAGAGGAAGAGCCCGCTGTGCATTTGGCTCAGGCAGCCTGGCTGGGGAGGCGGAATAGAGAGTTTGGGGTGCTGCTCGGGATGCTCCTCAAGCCCCCAGCTCGGAGCCTGGAGGTCAAGGGAAACTTCCAGATCATCCCTTCCTCCCTGCCCTGCCCCCCTCACACACACTCACCAGTTGCAGGGCCTGGCTGGAGCAGCTGCCTAGGCGAGCCTGGGGGATGCCCAGAGAGTGCCCAAGCAGCACCAGCTCCTCAGGGTGGCACAGCTTGTGGGTGGCACACTGGGGGTGGGATGGGAGCAAAGTGAGGGGACGCTCCAGGGCCAGCTGCTCCTCCCCCTGGGCCCTCCCCGCCCCTCCCCTGCCAGGCTCCTCTGCCCCATCTTGCCCCCTTCCAGCCTGGCTGCCCACAGTCCAGAGCGGCCCTCTGCTCAAGCCCTCCCAGCCTCCATCCCACCTCTCCCGATTTCCTCCCACCTCCTCTGTGTCTCTTCCCTCCCATATACAGTCTTAAGGGGACCCCTGGGCATTTGCCCCTTCTCTCTGTCCCTCAGGTCAGCCCCCTCCTGCACGCCTCTGTCCTTGTCTCCACTCACCAGCATCTCCTGCAGCTCTGTGCCATCCGCCTGGATCTTCCTCACTTGCTCCAAGCACTTGAGCAGGAAGCTCTGGGGCAGGCTGTGGGCAGGGTGCGGGGGGGTGGCTTCTCCTGCCATCCAGAATACGCTGTGCCATAGCAGCAGCTGCAGGGCTGGGAGCAGATGGGGGCTTAGAGGACAGGCTGGGACCCCACTTCCCTGCCACTCCAGCCTCTCCCCCTCCCTGGCGGGCAGCTCGCCCACACGGGCCAGGGCACTCACCTGTCGGCTTCATGGGGCTCTGGGCAGCAGGCTGAGCCGAGGGGCCGGGTGGGTCTGGGCAGCAGGCTCAGGCTCTGTCAGGGGCCAGTTCCACAGGCCTTTATACATCAGCCCAGGAGGCCCCGGAGGGAGGAAATTACCTGGTGCTGGGACTAAGGCTTAGTAATAATTTCCCCCGGACTTATGCAAATTTAGTGTCATGACAATGCAGGGGGCCTGGGATGAAAAGCTGTTTGCGAAAGTTTTGTGAAATCGTGGAATCTCTGCTCCTTCTTTGACGTCTTGAAGGCCCCCCTCAACTCCCTTCCTCCCCTTAGCCCCACCCAGGCTTCAATTGCCCCAGGGATTTTGAACAGAACCTCTGGCTTCTGATAGAGCCTTGGAGGAACACTGAGCTCCACAGAGCTGGGGAGAGGCAGGCTTCCCACGCCCCCACTCTGGCATATTTGTGGGTGCAGCGTCCCCCTTGTCACCCCCCCTCTCCCTTGAGCTTCTTAAGCTATCTACCTCCTAGACGTCCAAAATCTGAGAGGGAAGAAGCTGATTCCTTCCTACCTCCAGGCTCCCAGGAAGCTGATCCAGGGCCCCTGCAAGGGGCCGGGGGCTTGAGAGAGGGGTGAGTCTTACCCACACTTTGATTGGCACCATCCCACGTTTCAGGCTGTCCCGAGTTGGCTAGCTGGGAACTTCCCAACTGCCCCCTCTGACTCATTCCTTTAAGCCCCCGGAATCCTGGCAGAGACCAGAGGAAACCGGATGTGTGAGTGAAGCAAGGACCCTGGAAGCTCCTTCTTCTCACCTTGCCCACCCCCCTCCCATGGGGCCCCTCCCCAAGGCACTGCCCAGCACTTTGGACCAACCCAGTGGACTGGGCCCTAGAGGGAAGCGCCTTGCCCAAGGTCATGGTAAGGGAGTCGGTTCCAACAGCCGGGGCCTGAGAGTGCTCACAACCACGGGGCCTGCCCAGGCAGGATGACCAGCTGCACCCAAGTTGTGAGCTGTCACTCCGTCCCAGTTTACCCCATAACCGTCCGGGAACTGGGAGGGGTGTGCCTGGCTGCGTGAGACCATTTCTGGGCCTGGGTTGCCCCCTGGTGGCCACGGCTAGTACAGCTGTCTCGGCAGACGGGTTCACTCCAGCCCTGGTCGCGCCCCCCTTCCCAGGGGCTGCCACAGCCCCCCCTCCCCACTCCACCTGAGCCTTGGTATTTGACGATTGACCTCTCCCCGCCCTGTGCGCGGCTCTGTTGGAGTAGAGAGTCAAGTTCAACAGAACCGGGGCTGGAAGGAGCTTCACATTTGCAAACATGTCCCTGCCCTTCCTCCAGGGGACTGTGCTTTCCCAGACCAAGTGACCAGTGGTCCACACTTCCATTGTCTCCCCTCCCATCGGTTTCTGAGAAAGCACTAGAGCCACTTCCCCCTTTACAGGAGATGAATCTGACCTCACGTTAAGTAACTTGCCCACGGGACAGAACTGAGATCTTAAGCACTTAACCACCAAATCTCTTCACCAAGGTCTGCCTTCCTCACCCATGACCAGGCCGGCTCTAGACCCAGACTTTTGTTTCGCCAGCAGTCCAAGGGTGTCAGAGGTCTAGTCAGTCCTAGCAAGGGTGGCAGGCGGTGAGAGGACCCAGGACCGTGACTGGAGGAACACAGGCTGTTCACCTGTGGGAGAGAGGGGGCTTGTGAGGCCTCTGGGGTTAGGAGTGGGACAGGGAGCAGCGCCACCGACAGTGCTTCAGCTCGACAGAAGTAAAGTGCTTCGGCAGGTGCAGGCTGCTTCCAGCAGTGGGTCTCCCAGCCCAGGGGTGTCCGGCACCTCCCTCCTTCCCCCTACTTTTCCTTCCTCAGGGATGGAAGCTGAATGCTGATTGTGAACTAGTGGGCACCATTAGATCAGGCCCCTGCACATTTTATCATTTCATCTTCCTAATCAAGTGGGACGGTGTGGCTTCTCCCTGTTAGAGACAGGGAGGGCCGGCCTGAGCTGGTCAGAGGAGAGCCTGGCTGGCCTTGGGGCACGGCCGGCTTCCCAAGCCCTCTGCTCCCAGTACACCACCTTCCTGTTCAGAGAGCTGGACTTCTCGGTCATGGCTCTGCCAGGGCTTCCGCCCCCCTCCAGCAGAGAGGCCCAGGTAGAGCCCAGGCCATGGTCCCGCTGTGGCTCATTTGTGCAGCTCCTGAAGGCTCTCCCAGGTATCCCTTCATGGCCAGGGCTGGAGGGCAGCCCCCCGACACTTCCTGTTTTCATCTGGTACTGGGCTTGGCACATCTCATCGTAACTCATTTGCTGCAGCCTTGGCCTGTGGGCCAAGATATGTGCACTGAGCTAAGAATGGGTTTTACATGGCTGGAAAAGAATCAAAAGGCTATTTCATAGCATGCCAAAATCACATGAAGTTCAAACGTCACTGTTTGTGATTTGTTTACATAGCCTTGATAGGGATGTGACGGGCAGGAGTGACTTAGAGGTGACAGACCATGGAGCTCACAAGCCTTAGTAATGGACACTCTGGTCCTCTAAGAGAAGCGTGCAGGTGGGCAAGGGGAGACGCAGACCCCTCTGTGGCATGTTTGCTCCTGCAAGCCACGTCCAGCCTGGCTGAACTGGCCAGCCTGGACGCTCCACCAGGAAAGGAGCTTGTTTTTTTTTTTCAGTTGTAGTTTCTGTGCCAAATATACGGTGCTGGGGAGGGTAGCCACAGGTTACAGTCATGTGCCACATCAGTAACCAAGATTTAGGCTCAAAACAATACTGTTTGGCAGTGTAAGTATGAAAACTGGGCCCTCCCTGGTGGCGCAACAAATTAAAGCCAGCACTGTGAAGCTGACCACAGCCAGCGCAGCTCGAGTTCCATCCCCAGCCAGGGAGCTGACCCACAGGGCGCGGCAGACCTCTCCTGACCTGCCCGCTGCTTCCCTCAGCAGTGTACTTCGTCGATCTGCCTGTTCTGCTCCCCGCTCTGTCTCTGGTGAAGCCTCTCGCTGCCCCTGCACCTCTGGCCTGTACCCCAGTTCTGTATGAATAAATAAATAAATCTTTTTTTTAAAGTATGAAAACATAAGCTGTAAGGCTACCCGAGGACTTCATGAGTGACTGACCACCCCGGGGTGGGGGGCGGGGAGAAGGAACACGAACTTCCGACTTCGCTGTGATTGAGCCTGACAGGACCCAGGGTTAATGGGGTAAATCTGAGTGGAAGGTACACACGCGGGTGTTGTTATGCTGGTCTCTGTACCACTCTGTAGCTTTCAAGTTAAAAAAGTGACACAGAGGGCCCTCCCTGGTGGCGCAGCGGGTTAAAGCACTGCACTGAGAAGCTAAAGCCACTTCTACATGAGTTCGATCCCGCCTGCCCTGGAGGTGACCACATGGCGCGGCAGACCTCTCCTGACCCGCCCGCTGCTCCCCTCAGCAGTGTACTTCGCCATCTCCCTGTTCTGCTCCCCACTCTGTCTCTGGTGAAGCCTCTCACCGCCCCTGAGCCTCTGGCCTGTACCCCAGTTCTGTATGCACGAATAAATAAATCTTTAAAAAAAAAAAAAAAAAGTGACACAGAAGGTGGGAACACAGTGAACCATCTCAGTGTAGAAGTGACAGATTCTCCTAGGAAAAGCAGGCCCAGCCCATGGGGATGAGCTTCAAGAGATGTCCAGTGAACGCGAGCCAGGAGGGCGAGCAGCAGGAAACCCTGGCACGGAGCCTCAGCCTTGAGGGTGACTGACGCTCCTGTCCCCGCCCCGCAGAGGGGTCTTCCGGGAGAGCGAGAATGAGGCCTATTTACGCTCAAGCCCCTCCTCGCCCTGTATACATCCTTACCACACGCTCAACAAACATCTGTCAGAGATTGAGGGAAGCGGGTGGGGAAGGGCCATTTCCCAGCGTCGGCTTTTTGGTCTCATCGCAGAGGGGTGACGGGAGCAGGAAGCAAAGCCATAGCACGGCCGGCGTCAGCCCAATTAGTAGAGACAGGAAGGCCCGGCGTGAAGACTCTGAGCCTACCTTGCCCAGAGCAAGACAGGTGCGCCCAGGGGCAGTACGGGGTGGGGGGTCCACTGCCCCTGGGGACTGGGGCCTGGGGTGTGTGGGAGCCAGCGTGGTGGAGCCACAGACGGCAGACGGGTCCCCGTGGCCAGCCCAAGCACGGGCTGTCACCCCAGTGGCCGATGTGGGGCTGGGAGACCAGGCTGGGTGGGTGCATTCACGGCCACTGCTGGAGGGGGTGCGGGTGGCCACAGGGGGCCCCACTCACCAGCCCCCCCACAACTGGTGGGCGAGCCCCTTGCAACCCGCTGCAGCGGCTGAGCCCCTTCTCTGCCCCACGACCTCACTCTCGACCCCCCAGAAACCTAGATTCCGAGCCGCGAGCAGGTGGCGCAGTCTAGTCCTTTGCTTCACTCAGACGTGGTGGGGAGCGGCGTGGTGACTTGCCCAGAATCCCCCCACCCTGTGCACAGCCTCCTCTTCATCCACAGCCGTCTCTGGGGCTAGAACCCCAGTCAGGGAAAAGCCCTGGGTCTGTCAATGCTGTGCCAAGCACCAACACAGTAATTACCTTAAGCACGAAGCATTCTGGAGAACTTTTTATTGTTTAAAAATCATAATTGAAGCTTCAAAAAACATACAACCCAATGCACGTCTCAAGTTCAGCCCCTGCCCCTGGAGGAGGGTGTAGTGCTGCCCACACCCCCAGCCAGGACCCTGCCCTGGGACGCACCCGCTGCCCGCCTGCCCAGCGTGTGCCAAGTTGCTGGCTGGGGAGGGGCCCTGGCGTGAGGTGGGGGCGGTTGGCTCCCTGTACCCCTCACCTCCTGCACAGATGCAGTCTGTGAGCCGCGTGTGGGAAAAGGGTTCCCTGGGTAAGGGACCCCCGAAGGGAAAAGATAAAGGTTCAGTCCCCATTCGTCCCACCCCTCCCCAGCCCTCCAGGTTCAAGGGAAGCTGTCGTCGTCATCTTCTGCCATCTCCTTGGCAAACTCCAAGTCTTGCTGCTCTCGCTCACGCCG